GGGGGGAGGAGGCGCTGCGCACCGACATCCTCTGCAACGTGCCCACCTACAAGGGCAAGGTGGGTCGGCGGGGGAGCCGCGGGGCCTCCGCGGCCTGGGCTGGGCTGCGGGCCGTTGTGCGCCCCGCGTTAGGAGCCGGGCGGGGGGCGGGGGGGAAGACGGTCGATATTGCCCTGCCAGCGGCACCGCTAGAAGGGTTTGGATTGTCCCTTCCTGCCTGAACGCCCTCTCCCTTCCCCTTCTCTGCTAGGTACGTGCCTTTCACCACGCCTTTAGCACCAACGATTGCTCCAGGAACGTCTACATCAAGAAGAACGGCTTCACTTTGCACCGCAACCCCATCGCTCAGAGCACGGATGGGGCAAGGACCAAGATCGGCTTCAGCGAGGGCCGCCACGCGTGGGAAGTGTGGTGGGAGGGCCCGCTGGGCACCGTGGCTGTCATCGGCATTGCCACGAAGCGGGCTGCCATGCAGTGCCAGGGCTACGTGGCACTACTGGGGAGCGATGACCAGAGCTGGGGCTGGAATTTGGTGGACAATAATTTACTGCATAATGGAGAAGTGAACGGCAGTTTCCCTCAGTGCAATAACGCACCGAAATACCAGGTGGGTGAGACTTGGCGCAGGCTGGGAGCTTTACTGTCTCGAACAGCAGCTGTCCTCCAAGAATTTCTTCATAGCATGTAGTAGTTAGCTGCTTGCTGAATTGGTCTTAAGTGGTCATCTAGAGCAAAACGGTCCCTGCAGGAGGTAAATGATGGTGCCGTACAAGGGGTTTCCCCCTTAATGTTTCCTTCGATTATGTCTGTGTGTAATGTTCAGTACAACTCATTCTCTGTTGTTTCCCCTACTGAAGACAACAAATAAACTTTTATTTCAAATATGAAGTGAGGAACACACACTATGGGTGCTTATCTAAAGACAATTGCTTTTTGAAAAAGAAGCTGACGAGGCCATTCTGGCTATCTTAAGTAAAGATTTTGCCTGTCAGTGATATGACTGTGTGTGTGGTAGCTGTGTTATCTTTTTGTTACCCTGCAGTGGGAGTTGAAGTTAGTGCTTAGGTAAGAGTTTTCCTGCAAGAAAATGCAGTAATGCCGAGTGCTGTTTGTTTGCTCCCTGGCACTGTTCCTAAAGGTGACATCTTTAGGCTGGGATGTGATGTTCAGATAAATAGATGTTATTAAAGAGGAAGTGCCATTCTGTCTTTTTATCCATATCAAAGTGGTTTACCTTTGCTCTCTTGGCCATCTGCACGATGGTTTGACTGCTAGATTTCCTCACGTTACAACTTCAGCCATGCGCAGTATAATGCCTGACTCATAATATCGAAGGTTTTGTACGAATGTTGACTCCAAAGCAGCTTGTATTTCAGTTGCGGGTGAAGATTTGCTTAGGAACTTGTATCTGATGTTCCTAAATTTCACATAAAGGCTCGCTGCCAAGCACTTGATCTGATTTGGTCTGAAGCTTGTACCTGCCATTTTTGCAAACAAAACCTAAAATGAGTGTTTTTAAAGAGATTTAGTTTGCTTTCTATTTGCATGTTTTTTAACATGCAAGTGCACTTTCCAGACTTGACCGTTTGTGGTCATTTTCTGCTGTCTGTATCTAGGCCTTTATGCAGCCACAGGGCAAGAAAAAGTTTTAGAGCCAGGAGAACTCTCATGTGGACTCGAGGGAGAACAGGTCTTGCACTTGCTTTTTTCTTTTTAAAAGTTGGTTAGAGCTCAGATTGGTGATCCTTTAAAGTACTTTATATGCAGTAAAACAAGCACAGTGAGCTGCTTGTATATAATACACTCAAAGTAACTATATGTTTGCTGGTGTTGGAAGAAAAATGTGTTGTTTTGAAGAAAATGCCAACGTTGCAGTTGGCTTGTGGAGAATCAGAAGTTTGTGCTGTATCATGTTGTGCTTGCTGCTGGTGTCTGTGACTTACCTTTACATTTGAAAAATATGTAGTAGGTGAATGCTGGGAGCATTGTGTATGTTGTGATCTGATTATCTTACTGCATTCAGTGTTCTTTTCATTCGTGTGTATATATATATTTAGGTTTTTCATACTTAATTTACCTAGGCTTTGCACTGTAATTTCTTTCTGCCCTTTCTACCAAGGAATCCCTCTGACGATGACAGTACTTGTATAGTCAGTAAAATATTCTGGTATAGTTTGTATGTTGCGCTTACCTGTTTTTAAACAGGTTCATTGTCTTTTAAAATTGCTCAGCACGGACATTACTGGTCAGTGATAGCAACCAAATGCAGGGTTTGGGTAACTTTGGGTGGAGGCCGTTACAAAACTTCCCCAAGCTGCGGAATTCTGAAGTAAATGGCATATGTTATGCTAACTCTCAGTGCTATTGTGATGTTCTGATGCAAAGGGCTACGTTTGTTACTCTGGTGGTTAGATATAGGTTGCCTATTGGAAACTGCCAGTACAGATGCTCAGAATCTTACGTGTATCAGTGAAATGGAGAAGTTCCACGGAAAAAGTAGTGCAATCTTGAGAAACAGGAAAACCTCCCTTTGAGGTGATCTGCTGTACTGTACACGGGCTTTGCTTTATTTTTCATGTCTCTATTTGAATATGTTGACTTTTTCTTTTGTTTTATTTTTCTTCCTCTTCTTATTTCTGTTTCCAGATAGGTGAAAGGATTCGAGTTATCCTGGACATGGAAGACAAAACGTTAGCGTTTGAGAGGGGCTATGAGTTTTTGGGAGTTGCATTCAGAGGACTGCCAAAAGTTTGCCTGTATCCAGCAGTGTCTGCTGTGTATGGTAACACGGAAGTGACTTTGGTGTACCTGGGAAAACCTCTGGATGGATGATGTGGATTGTTTCATTGGGACATCAAGATGTGAATGATTCGGAGGAGAAATCTGCACGTTGATTAGAGGGAAAAGTGAACTAGAAAAAAAAAAAAGTGTGGGTTTGTGTCCAAGAACCATCAAGGAAACCATACAGAATTTTGAAATGGAGGACCAGCCATACTTCAGGAATTGTGTCACATTTCCTCTTTCTACCAGGCCAGACATATCCTCAGGGTTGCAGTTGGTTGAGTGGGAAGCTGACACATGCATGTTGCAACAGATTTCATTGCTGAGATGGCAGTGTGTGACCTCAAATATTTAAGGAAGGATTTGATATAAAACTACTTGAGGAAATTAACCTGAGATTTGTAAGTAGCGTGTTTTGTGAAAGACTCCCATTTTAAAACTGCTTGTTCCTTCCCTTCCTTCCTTTGGGCTGGCACAGGTACCAGAGGAGAGTAGGTCTAGTTGGATTTTATTTACAGTTTTTAATATACTGAGAAGCATGGTCTATCTGGACTGCCCTTCTCCAGTAGAATGATATAAAATGTGTGCAGCTATTTTTAAGTGTATTTTAAAGGTTGTATATATAGAACATGTTGAAAAGAACAATTAAAACGGAAGAATTTGCTTTATTCTAACTGGGATATAACTTCTTAAAGGGGGGAAAAAAAACCCCCACTACGTGGCATCAGAAAAACCTCAGACAGGTATATAACATTCATGTAAGGATACTTCTTCTGTTGTATTGTGAAGCATTTTGGGATGCTCTTGTGGAGTAAGGTGCTACATTGGCCCATTTTTGCCTAGCTGAAAGTTTCCATAGCTTTAGCAGTATATTTGTTCTCTGTAAGAAACACAAGAAAATTTCACTATGAGTTTCTTCTCGCCAAAATTTGTGGTCCCTTTTAAGAGTGAAAGGTACAACACTGTAATGAGCTGATCTTCCTTTTGACACCAAAAAATACATATTTTTAAAAGAAATCTTACGCTTTCTAATCACTGTTGTAAAATGAGACTTTCAAAATGATGAAAAATCCACATTCAGCTTCTGAGCTGAGATCTTATTTTCAATTTAATCAGTTTCATAAGGATTTAAGACTTGACTTAACCTAACTTAATTTTGCTTCTTTAGTTAAATAAAATCCCAAGTATTCATCTGCCCATTTTCAGTCAGGACTATTAAAATTCTCACTTCCCTCTGGAGATTCTGGATCAGGTTCAGCATTTGGGATTTTCATTTGCACTGTTTCTCTAAAAACTTCTTACAAAACCAACTGATATGTCAGTGTTACGGCATTCAGCAAGTAGGCTGAAAAGGCTGTGAAGCTTAAGGGTATAGTAAAGAGGTACTTTTTGGTGAAACAGCATTCCTTTGAGGTTGAAAGGTCTGTGGAGATATGGATGTTTGTCAGCCTTCACGCAAAGAAAGCTAATTTAGCCCCCGAAGTGGGTTTCCTTTTAATAGGGCACTGAAATCTGTAAGGCCTGTGGTTAGTTTTTGACTCTCATTTCTTGTTGTTGGTGTTTCTCCAAGTTCAATAGAACTATCTGAACTGTTTCAGAATTACTGATGGCGTGTTTTTTAGGGAGGGAGAAGGAAATGTTTATGCAACCTCTTTTTGTTTTATCTATGCTAGAGAATGTGAATTGCTTAATATCAAACACTGATAAATCTCTGAGTGCAGGAGAGAAGGGAATTTCTCTTAGGTTGCTCATTTTTTCCCCATTACTCAAGTAATGTAAGGAAAGTGGTACAAGCAGATGACTGGGATTCTTAGTCTGCTGCTGAAGAACTACACTTGGGGTGCTTTTTACCTAACAGATAGTGAAGTTCTGCACTGGAGCAGAGTATGTACATTATTACCATTTTAAAGGATTTTAAAGTATTTATTTATGTGTAGTTTATTCCTTAAAGGCAATATCTGCTGAGATCAGTTTCTCTTGTCTGTGTTCAAAAAAGTAAATACACAGGAAGAAATGAAGATGTTTTAAATGGTACTGAGAACAACTAAATAAATGAAGTGAGACTGGTATATGAGTACCTTTTGGAAAAATCTGTTTAAAATGTTGATGTCTGTAGACCGTAAAGTATGTATCTACATAGCAGAACCTGGTGGCATGAGGTAGGAAAAAAGGAAGCAAAACCCTGTCCCATAACAGAGAAGAAAATAATCTCTTAGGTGAATGTATTCTTCGTGCAGTCTTGAAAAACACGACCTCTGCACTTGCTAATGAATCCGAGTACATGTAAATAAAACCCTGAGAACTTCTGAGGGGTTTAATTTGTGAATAAAGATTTCTTTCCAGTCTTCAAATTGTGTCTTACCCTATAAATAATTTCCCTCTAAATTAGAAATAGTGGAAAATAAACATTCCTTCCTTAAGGGTGGGTTTGGGGGGGGCTCACTTATGTAAGATTAAATTTATTACTGGAGACCAATGCTAGCTGTACAAAATATTAAAATAAACTGCTATAATTCAGAAGGAAATATTTGTGTGATTGTTGTAATGACATTCATGATGTATTGATAGGAAAAATGGAGTAGTAATTTGGTGTGTCAAAACAAATTCTTACCATCAAGAAGATGAAGGTGTTACTGTGTGATTTGCTGCATGAGTGTTCACAAGGAGAGAATCTGGCTAATGGTTATGAGGACTTAAACTCAGTAGTCTAATAACAGTCCTTATGAAATTACATTTTCTGAAACAGGAATGCTCCTGTGTGACAGGAGGGGGAGGGGTAAGAGCTAGCAGCTGGAGGTATCTTGATTCAAATTACCTATCATGAGTTTGCACTACCCTACTGCTGTGTGCAGTGCCTTCTGTCCGAGGACAAGTTCTCAGCTTCTCTGTGTTGAGCTTTCAGTAGGGAGGTTCCGTGTTCCTCAGTACTTCACAGAGGATGTAGGGATTCTGGAATGAAAAAGGGATTTTACCCCCCAGTTACAAGATCCAAGATGAGCGGTGCTGTTTAATGAAAATAAAAGGTATTTTGATATCAGACTTTCTCCACACAATCAGAGCATTGAGGACTGCAGAAATGTTTTGAGAGTTTTGTTCTTTCAGAAAGTCATGAAAGGGATGTGTTCACTCACACTGTCAGCATTCTTTCAAATTCGGGCCGCTTGCGCTTGAAGCTAGTCTGTTTATGAGAATATTACTGACTAACACTTCCGCTGGATTGGTCGAGTATTTCATTATTCAGCATTACATAGATACGCTTACTTGAAACTTGATTTCTGACTTTTTTCTCACCATCCTTAGAAATTACTGTGAGAGAGGCAGCAGACTTGAATATGAACAATTCAAGGTAGTTTTACTACTAGATCCAATTTAACCCTTCTCCATCCGTATTTCTTTTTAAATGGCCTTACTTCATTAAGCTTGTTACGTGTTCCATATGTGTGGATTTATTCAATTGGAATAAAGTCAAGAATCTTGTCAAACCAGGCACTCCTTTGCTTGCAGATTTTTCTACTTGGTAAAATGTTTTGAGGCCATCTCTGTTCATCTTCCATACTTTGGGACTAGATTACTTAGTAGAAAACAGATGGTAAGATTACCACTGAAAGAACATTGTCTCTGGAAGGCCAAGTCCGTAGCTGCCTTCAGAATAATTCATCCTGTTTTTGTGGCTGGGATAGGACGATCATTTGTATCAGCAATGTCTCTTGGGTAATTTTGAGCTGAGGGTACATGCTGAAGCAGTTCTGCAACTGGTACAGAGATTTCTGAGTAATCTGAATGCCTAGATGTGGAAGAGGGAAGGCAGCAAGGTCTTGTAGCCTGCCCAACCCCATTCTGCAGCGGAGAGCTGGGACTCAGACGCAGTTCTCATCTCTCATCTCTGAGCTATGCCCAGTATGCTTCTTCCCTACCCCTCTCCTAGGCTGGTCTCTTTTAGCTATTGATTATACAAATATTTTGGTATAACGAGGATTTTGTGGGTGTAAGATTCATTATGTGGAAAGTCAAGAAGAATGGTCCCCCTGTGCTAAGGTATTGCTGTTCAGGCTTTTTTTTTTCCCCCCCCTTCCCTTTGGGACCTTCCCAGTCTTCTCTCTTTCACCTTAAGAATGCTAGAAGCTGTAAAGAGCAGAGAATATGTGCCTGCTTACACGGCTTATGTGATGCTTCCACAAATGTTGTCTTAGCTTTTGCTAGGCTGTGTTGGTTTCAGACTGTTTGCTCTGTTCTGGATAGGTTCTTAGACTTTGCTCATCCAGTGTATTTCTAGTGCTGCATTAAGCAGCGTGGCTTACTTCTGTGCCCTGCTTTGTTTTCCTCGTTCCTGCACAGCAAAAGCATGTAGTGGAGCATTTTGTTTTGGCAGGATTTAAATATGCATGTTCTGATGTAGATATGGGACAGGAATGGGAGCAGAGAAGCGTTAGGGAAATACCATTTTCTGCCTTGGATATAAATGGTAAGGTGTGTGCTGTTCCTGAATTCAGGGAGAGAATCGGTCCACTCTGTGACAGGTCCTAGAGGCTCTGTTTTCTGTATGGATGAATTTTACCCTTGTGATATCAAGTTTTGTTTTGCCAGAGGAATTCAATTGCCAATTGCAAATTTAATTCCGGGGCTTCATGCAATTTGTGGGCATAGTTCAGACAAAGATAGTAACTTTGTTTGACCTAAAATTAGATGGGATCCTGCAGAGACATCTGGGAGAAAGCAGATGTGTGCTTGGTAGCTTGTGTGGGTGAGAAATGATATTATAGCCTTCTGTATCTCTTGGAGCTTTCAAAGTGATAAATTCTTAAGCGTGTGTATATTATGTGGCTGAAGTCCAAATAACTGAAGAGTAGCTGCCCAGCCAGGGCAACGTGCTGCAGGATGGGGCAGAATCTCAAAGCCAACCAGATATGATAGATCATGATTGTTGTGGAAGCTACTAAAAGAGGTCTTATTTTCAGCAAGGAATCTAAGAACACTCTTGAAACGCAATGTGAATTTGAGCAACTGTAATCAGTAATCAGTGGAGACTGTGTTGTGACTGTGAACTCTGAAGCACTCTATTCTCTCCAGCAGACTCGCTTCTGTTTTGCTGAGGTTCAACTTCAGCCAGTCGCTCTTCATCTCTGAGCTGAGCTGGATTATAACACGGTGGCCTTAGAGAAAGACAAGTAGAACTCTGTCATCTCTGTGTTGAAGCAAGGGGTCAATGTGTGGTGGGCAACAGTCTTGAGTGAGGGAGAGAAATACAGGAATCTGGAATAAATATTTGCAAATTAAGATGAGAGCATATGCAAGTTGGATGGACGTGATTTCAGATCTATATTCTGGCACACTTCCAAACTCTCTGCATCAAGAACTTCCTTTTATGTTTGGCCAACATCTCTGCAAGCTTGCTCAGGAGTGAAGAGGTTTGATGCCTTCAAGCTGAAAGGCTAGAATCAGTTTTTCTAGCATAAGGTACTTCAGAGTTCACTAAACAACTGTGTTTGAAGGACTTCTGTTCTCTGACTAGTGATTTGACTACCTTGGTCAAGAAGAACATCAGCTGTTCAGAGCTCGCATGGAAGAGATCAGTCATATCCTCAGGTCTTGGCTTCAGAGTCCTTTAGGATGTCCAGCGTTTTTTTGATAGATGAGCTATGCATTTTTTTTATTAACTGAGTAAAACTCTAAATTTCTTTGGTTGTAAGTGTGCCATGAAATCTGTTGGGAGATTGAAAGCATGACCTGAAAGATCAGATGATTAACTACTCTGAATGACAAGCTAAGAACTCAGTATGGTCATTTGTTATGGGACAGCAGTCTGTTCTTGGCTTTGGCACTGGCTCATAGTGGCACTGGCCTTAAGTCAATTGTGTGACTTTTTTTTTCCATAAGATGATGGAGGAGTTGCCAGAGTAAACTAATACTGCAAAAAGGTTTGGAAAACTAGCCATGCTAGGGAGAAGATTTTTTAGTGTATTTTTTCTAACTGAAATGCACTAGTGAGTGTGTATTTTGGGGAGTCCTGAGAATAGAATTATCCTATGTGTGACTTCTCCTAGCAAATGCCATTTGGTTTTGTTAATTTTGGCCATGTTTCAGGTGACGAAACTAGTCGGGAGCAGATGGCCTTGATCCTGTGGGCTGTCTCTCATGCTGAGGCCGAATTTCTGTTGGCTAGGACCTATCTGTACTCTTCTGTCGGCCTGTGAATCCAATAGCAACCTGGTACAAATTAGCTTTTCTCTCCATTTACTGAGGATATATATTTTTTAATTTCCTTAACATAGGGGCATGTTTTCCAGATGGCTGCTATCCCATTTTTCTCTGGGATGATGACAGCGGCAATGAATTCAAATAATACTCAGAATTACCATAGTCTGATCATGCAACTGCTTATAAAACTTATTTTCTCTAAGTATTTCATATGGAATTACCCATGAATCTGTACATTTCAATACTGACATTTCAGTTCTAGCCAAATCTTTACATTTCTTCTCATTTTTACTTTATCACCTTGTTACTTTATTACCTGTATGAGCTTTACATGTTTTTCCATAAAAAGCTGATGGAATACTCCTGTTGAACTGCAAGTAGGCTGCAAGCTGCTGCTTTTCTAATATTTTGCTTAAAGCTTGGGACTTAACAGTGCTCCCTTGCCCTGGGTATTATGGCCTGTGGGCTTTTACTTTCCTTTGTCTTCTCTCCCTTCGTTGTCCTGCTGA